TCTCAACCCTGTGTAGATGGAGCAATAATGCAACTGGAAACTCACCTCACAGGTGTGTATATAATGTGCGCTTACAGGATTCTTAAAAAAAAAATAACTTTTTAGAATCGTACTTTCACAATCTACATTTTCCTACAAAAAACTTTCAAATGTGACACTTTCTTCGCTTATTGTTGGCGATTCACTGAATCACGTGACCACAGCGCGGTCAATTCGTTTGAAATGCCAGACCAGATGCTGGCCGCCATGTGGTATAGAGAGAGAGAGAAGTGTCGAGAAACACTGTAAATGTAGCATAAAGTAAGAACTTTGAATGGTGATCAACCAAAAATAACATGATGAAGGGAGAGAGAGAGAAGGGTATACAAGATGCAATATTTAAATTATCCATTTGTTTCAATGACTAGTAAGGTGATAATTTTGATGTCTGCATTTAAAAATCCTGGTAACATTGTGACGCAAACTGGCGCCTGAAGCTCATTGGCTGAAGTCGGATACGTTGCGCTGTAGCTCACCCGGGGAGGGGGACTCTTGCGCATCATATCCGTTTTTAGCCAATGAGCTTCAGTCAACATTTTGCGTCACAGCGGGAATTTTAAATGCGGACAGATACCAAAATTATCACCTCTTTACAAGCAATTGAATGAGATTTAGGAAGCATTTATAAAACAATATTGCATCTTGTATACCTTTGAATTATTTTTGGATTGAAAATAGCCACTTTGTACTAACTTCAAAATGTTTCTCAACACTTCTCGCTTTCCATGCAACATGGTAGCCAGCGTTTGATCTGATTTTTCAAACGAACTGCGCATGCTGTGGTCACGTGGTTCGTGACGCGCAGTACTAGCAAAAATGGGTGCGCCAAAGGAACTCACCCATGTCTTTCCATCATGTACAAATGCGTCGAGATATTTCAAAGCGACCGCGTAAATGGCAAACGGCCAAAGCTTTGCCTGCCTGCCTGCACAGTGGCGCCGCCGCCGGCGCGGCCGGGCTACGAACTGAACGCGGCGCTGGGCAGCCGCTACAAGCTGCACCTCCGGCCGCAGACTTGGGTGGAGGCGCTGGGGTCGTGCGAGGCGGAGGGAGCGCACCTGGCGGTGGTGAACGGCGAAGCCGAGGCGGCCATGCTGCGAGCGTTGTTCGCCCGCCACCCGGTCATCAACGACACCACGTGGGCCGGAGCCGCTTGGGTGGGCTTCCATGACCGCCACACCGAGGGAGAGTACCTCACCGTGCTGGGTACGTAGTCACGCCATCAGGGGCGGATCCACAGAAATCAATTTGGGAGGGGAAATTCAAAATGTTTTTGTCGAATGTGTCATATTACAAATTTTGTATAATGTCGCGGACTACACTCAGCCCATGCTGCGATACGATATTTTTTGTTTTAATGATTAACCGAATATATTTTTTGCTTGAAAGTTTCATATGTTAAAATTAAAAGTTACTGAAAAACATTACGGGGGGGGGGTCCCTCAATATATCTTCTTGGCAGCTAGTGGTTGACTGAGGAAAGGGGGTTCTGTTTTATCCAACCAGAGGCTTCAAATTATACTGACATCACAGAAGAGTTGCCGATAACTCGATAACTATTAAGTAAAACTTAAAGCTAACAGAGGGAAGCAACTGAAAATTGAAGAGCGCCCTTACTTCTTTGGTTATGCATCGTGTGTGCGGTTTTTTGTAGTCTATATTTCGGTTTATTTAGAGCTGCCTCTGGCACGTCATCAGCTGTCACGGTGTCATCCAATCGGAAGTTTCCACGTCCCTACGTTGAATTCACCATGGTAACGTTCAACCTCTCGATTGGACCACCGCAACTGATGTACGTAAAGGGCAGTTTGTTTAAATCCAAGTAAACTGTTGTGTGCTGTTTCTTGCACCTGTTGTGATCTGATGTAAGAACGACCATACGACCACGTGTTGGTGCCCGATTAAGTGGCAACCCGCAGCCCAGCTGTCAAGTAGACAAGTATTATTCCGGCAATAAAGAATTTAATCACTGTTGGGCTGTAAGTAGTAGAAAACAATTTAGTGCACACTTCTCAATTAGGGTATTAACTCTTAATAATTAATAATGTATTAAGATGTATTCTCGATTGCTGTGGGCTGTTAGTATTTACAAATCTGGTAACGAAATGATCCACAAGCCTTCAAAAATATGCCGTTGTATTTCAATCGTTCGCACGAAATACCTGTGCACTCGACAACCGTTAAAATGCGAGCGAGGCCTACAGAAGTGAGCAGGGACACGCAGAGAAAACCGGGGACCTGGAGCAGTTAATCCACTGAGCCCCTATTTCAAATAAAAAGTTCCCATCTTCAAAAGTCGCAAAAAAAATTAATTTCTCCATGGATCAGAAATAACTTACAGCGTTAAGTTTGAATTAGAGATCAATATATTTTTCATTTCTTTTAAATTAAAAAAAGAAACCGAGACCCTAATTAAGTCGGGCTCTGGGGCAAGTCCCCCCCTTCTGGACGCCCCTGATCACTGGAAGTGAGGCACTGCGCATTCATAGTGGACCTAACTAAGTGTACTACCGCTGTTCAGAAAACATCGGGTAAGTCCATGCGAACTAGAGATTGTAATCACCATATGACGACCAAAAATGTGTTTTGATTTGTTTGGTAATTTGTTTAACTGCTTTTCTAGTGTGCTTTCTTAGTCATATATAATAATAATTATGAATCTTAAAAGAATAATGTATAAGCCTGTTTAAGCTGCCTGTTTAAAAGCCAGAACGTTAGCCGTGTGCTCAGATTTCGCTTGCGAGCTGAAGGTGGTGTCAGCGTGAGAGAGAACTATGTCACACAAAGTAGCTGCAATCCCTCCATTCAATGTATCAGTTTTTGGACAAAAAAAATGTTCTCCTATAGCCACCGGTTCATCATCGTGGATGTCGAAAACCTGATATAAGATACTTGTTTTCTCACACTCTGTACACATGTACTCTCTAAAAACGGATATAAGACACTAGTTTTTTCACACTCTGTACAATTGTATTATATAACAATTCTTTTTCTATGCCCACAGGCGGACGGGTAGATGAAAGTGGTTACAATAAATGGATCGCTTCACAACCTGACAACAAAGATTACAAGATGCCACCCGATGTGGATTCCGATTGCGGTGGAATTCACCGAAACGCTCTGTTGGACGACTTGCCTTGCTCCGCTCGGTACGTCTTCATCTGCGAACAAGAGCTCTGGTGAAGGGATACACGGTCACAGGGAGAAGACAGAAATTCTACACACTCTTTGTTCTTTATTTTAAGGGAATGGTAAGCGAAAATGTGTTCGTAGTATGTTATGTCATTGAAATGAATATGTACATTCTATTTTTAAATCTGTCATACTTTTAGGGTTACCCTTTAGACAGGTAGGACATGTAATAAAATCAAAATAAGATTGGAAATGTAATTAACATTGAATATTTTTCTTTAATACAAAAATGAGTTATTTTGAAAACTACACTTAGTATTCTGACATTTTCCCCATCAGATAAGTCGTGTATAAGTTATATTTTAAGGGAACTGATTACTCTTGTGATACACGCAAACTTATCTGCCGTGCATAGTGTATTGCTACTCACATTATGTCACACGTTCCACTACTTGTCACAATGCTTCAGAGTATTCGTTTCTTCTACACTTCTTACTCTTCGTATTCACTTTTTAGGAATTAATACTGCATAATGTCCAGACGTTCAACCCATTTCACGCACACCACACTTACCAGGTACTTACAATTCAATTAAAGCCCACAAGCGTCTGCTATCAGTAGCAGTTCAGGGAGGCCAAGGACGGTTCTAAGAAATGTTGTCAGGGGGAGGCGAATACTTCTTTTAGGTTATTCGGTACAAAAATAATAAACGGTGTTACAATGAAACGAACTACTGGTTTTTTGCTCGCGAATAGGCTGACTTGAACCACGCGTGCATTCACCCTGCATTTACCAGGGTTCAGTACCATTATCTCGGTGGCAGGTGCATGTAACTTTATCTGGGTATCAGCATTTAGCTGGATCCGATTTTTATTACCCACGGTTGTTAGCTCTGGGGGTATGGAAGATGAAATGATGATGATAATGAGGGGTGAATGGACGTCACACACGTACATACACAAATACACCCATGCCCGAGGAGGGGCTCGAACCTGCTATCTTCTGGCCGAGACCGCTACTGCCTTAGCGATTTCGGCCGACCTATTGGTGTAATTATAATAACAAACTGTTTTCAAGAAACATTTCATTTATTTAAAAATCCAGAAAAAAGGACTATGATTTTTATATAACATTATAAAACAAGGTTCAATCGATGGGTTTTCGATGTTGCAAATCAAGCCAAAATTTTCTTTGAATTTAATTTTTGTTCTGATGCAAATGCAAAAGTGCGAAACCCAAAAGTCTTTCTTCTGACATTCTGTTTCTTAGTCAAGTTTTTTATTAGACTTTCGTCTAATTCAGGGCACTTCAATGCAAGAAAACATCGTTTCTCGAAGGCTACACTAATTGGCAAGCTTGACAATATCTGGAGCATGATTTTTCAGTTGCGTAAATGTCTTTGTCGCACGTGTTGTAATCCTCTAAAGCTGTCGCAGGTAGTTTTGATTATTCCTGACTCCCGAGTCCATGTAAATAATAATCAAATTATGAACAGTTTTATTGATTGTTTTTCTGAAAACGCGTTTTCCTATTGTGAATTCCATGGACCATGTTTTGTAGTTACACTGCGAATTGGGGTAAACCGCAAATAGCAAGCCAATATTACTCATAAAACATATTGCATGTATCTCATTTATATTTCAACTTTTGTATTCATACACGAAAAAAAGAACAGTTGCAGTATATCAGATCCATGATGCAAGTTCCCTTGTTACTGTATCAAGGATCTGGGATACTGCAACTGTTCTTTTTTTCCACTGTACGTTTTATTCAGTAACGAAATGTATTATTAATCGATGTAGGGTTTTTTTTTGGCACAATTTGCTTTTCTGCACTTACATAAAAACAACGATACTCTCGCATCGTTGAATGGATGAGCAGGATGTGCCACTGCTCTGGCACCGGACTAACCTGCTTAACGAAGGCTAGATGTCGATACAGCGGTCTGGAAGAAGCTTAGTGGAGTATCGAATCTGTCGTGGAGAGAATGATTAATCGGCGGAGCAGACGGCGAGCGCCGTAGCGTCTTTTTCCGCGATGCAGACGACCAACGAGTGCGTGCGGGGCGGCTGCAGGCGGCGGCGGGCCGGGCGCGGGCGGGGTTGTGGGAGTCAGGCCTGTCAGCGCAGCGGGGGGGGGGCAGTCGGGTGGAGAACTCGTATGCAGAGGCTACATAACCGTGAACTCGAGTCTCACCGCGCATATTATAAAAATAATCACCTCTAGAGTCCGAGTTTGATGCACGGCGTGTGGGATTTGTGGTGGGGACGAGTTCTCTGAAGGTTTTCCCAGCATTCTCTCCATTCCGCTATTTTCTATGACCTTTTATCTCAACATCGACATTGTTGGTATCATTCACCCACTTATCTTCATTAATGGGCTTGAATGACTTAGTTCTTGAAAGAACCATAAACTCGAATGGATCGTCAAAAGAAATCTTAAACGAACCAACCGAATTTAATCACATTCCATTACACATTTCATTGCATCATCCATGATCATCAAACACGGTATTCTGGAAAAAGGCATGTATCTGGACGTGCCCGACAAGGAATGACTAATCCTGCATGTTTTGTATTACACTATTATTTTGTAGTTACAGTTACACTACTGTAAACTACTATTTTGTAGCGGCTACTAATTTGTAAATAAAGTCTCTGAAAAGTGCACTAGGCTTTTATTACCCACGGTTGTTAGCCCTGGGGGTATGGAAGATGAAATGATTATGATAATGAGGGGTGAATGGACGTCACACACGTACATACAAATACAGCCATGCCCGAGGAGGGGCTCGAACCTGCTATCTTCTGGCCGAGACCGCTACTGCCTTAGCGATCTCGGCCGACCTATTGGTGTAATTATAATAACAAACTGTTTTCAAGAAACATTTGGAGAAGAGTAATTGAAGCACTTCTAAACATGAGCGCCTTAACATATAAATAACGTTCATAATAAAATGTAACTAATTATGGGAAAACATTTATTTGAAAAAAAATTATCTTCAATATTGTAGTAGGAAGACACCGAAAAAATTCAAACATCACAATTTTAGAAAATTCGGAGTTAACAGAGAAAATCTCCCATAAGCATCTTCATCAGTGCATTTCTTTCTATTCTTAAAATATTATTTTTAAATTGGAGCCATTTTTGAGAACATTGAACATGTCACAGGGGATTCATGAAAAAGTACCTCAGAATTTAAAGAATTATTTTCAAAATCGCAAGTTTTGAGTCGGGCCAGATAGATCGGGGAATATTCATTTTGGAAAACATTCTATGAATACTAGTTAGGCAATAGAGTTGATCACAGTCGGATACTTAAAAAAACACCCTTTTTGGGTGTGAGGGGACCCCCATTACAATTGAAATCTTGAAATTGATTTTCCACAACTTAACACAACTTTCTCTGCACCACGTATATTTCTCCGTATACGTGTATGAGAAAGTAACCAGGGGTGCTATAGAATGACACAGGCTTTTCGTAGTAGTTAGTTTTCTATTCTCTTTAGTCTGGACTATCTTTTATGTCTTGCACCATTACCATCTCAGCTGCCATCTATTGTCATCTAAACATAATTTTTTCCAGATTTTGATTCTCTAATGATAGATTTGAAATGCAAATTAATGAATATTGTACAAGAGTGAAATCTTGTTCTATATGCATATCTTCGTCGAAAAGAAGCTGTTTAAAAGTGTCGTTTGAGTGTTTCTGGTACTGTGCAATTTTGAGCTAATTTTCACAGAAAACCTTTGAGTTTTCGAGAAACTTTATAGGAAATCATTTGTAGCTCTTCTCTTTACAAATGCAATAATGCATAAGAAACTCTATAATGTAAATATTATCGACGTAAAATATATTTAAAAAATATTTCTGTAAAAAATCAAAATGGCATTAAAGACGTGTTATTTTGTGAATTTAGTACAATCCATACAAAATGTTGAAAGAAAAAAAATAGAGCGGTTTTTTGGGAATCATAGTTTGCGTTTCTGAAATGCGCAATTTCGAGCTCATTTTCACAGAAACGGTGTGAGTTTTGGAGAAACTTCAGCCGAAATCATTTGAATCAATCCTATTCACAAAAACAGTAATGTAAACAAATCGCCGTTGATGCAAATAACAACGAAGTGAAAGAGATGGCAAAAAAATCATTTGTGTAGTTTTTGAAGAAACAAAAGAACACAGCACAATGACATGCATGTGTTCTTATACAGTGCATTTATCACTATCCCTGTTGCTGATGTCAGTATTGAGCAGAATTGAACAATGCTGTGTCCTGATTATATGTAACCGATAAGTGACCGTTGTTGAAGATGTAACTGAAGGAGACTGTGTAACCGATAAGTAACTATACCCATGTTCGTGAGATTCTGCATATTAGAACGCCACGTTGGATTATGGAAAGACTTTGTGTTGCGAGACAACGCACATCCACATACTGCTGCCCGAGCTATTCAAATCCTGTATTTCGAGATGTCAGAGCATCATCCCAGATACAGTTAAAATCTTGTCACGTCTTATTACCATGCGTTTGGTCCTCATGAAGATGCTTTGAGAAGCCTGAAGACTTGCCTCCGACACACAGGTGAGGAACAAATGCATACATTTCTGTCTGTTCAATCAAAAATCCTTTTTTCTGAGGGTTTTGGAAAGTTGGTGTTATGATGGGCCAAGGACATTGCACAGCATGGTGACTATGTTGTAAATTGGTCTTATTATACATTCTGTACTCTTATTGTAATGAATTAGAAACACTCAATGGAGATACGTTTTGGCTTACCTCAGTGAGTGTATGCATGTCACTCCCTCTCGATGATTTGGCTCTTGTTTAAGGTCTCTATCTATCTCTCTAAGTCTTCTATCACTATAATTTTCGAATGAAAATCGGAGACATATACAATATTCCTGGAATATTTTCGATTGATTATTATTTTAGTTTTACTTATTTTACTTGATTATTGAAGTACATATATTTAATAAATTTGGCATCAAAAATTCATTTTTTACTTTCATTAGTTTTATTATGTTATTAATTACAAAAATGAGCGATTTTAAGAATTAAATTTTTTTGTAATTCTAATCTTTCGTAAATGCGAGAATTTTGTAATGGCTGTCAAGTGCAATAGATGATAATGAACTGTGAAAAAGAAAGAATCTTTAGGGCGAATCATGGAGCGCTTTCATTTTAAGAACCATTCTCTGCAATGTTGTCCCAGAAAAAAGGGAACCGAATAAGTAAACTAGTTGCTCTGACCGATCAATCTTTGGCAGAACATCCATCTCCATCTCGGTGGCATGTACATTTCAGAGG